GTCCTCTGCACCAGGAACTGTTTTAGGATGCAGAAACAAATAAATGTGTCCCCTTCTCAGAAGGAGAGAGATTTTATTGAGCCGTGGGGAAATGGGGGCTAACCGAATAAAAGGAAATATTCTTAACATCTGTGTCTTAAAGACTTGGTTTCTGCTGTAGACTATTGTGTGTGTCTCTCCCTGGAAGCAGTGCTTCCCTCACAACTGTTTAGCTGGGCATGTACACGTGGAGGTGTGGCAGCAAGTAAGGAGGCATCCAAGGAGACAAGGTCTCTGCCCTCAAACACAATGGGAGAGACTGTGGGTCAGCAGGAGAAGAGTAGAGGCTGTCAATGCTGTAAAGGAGCGGGCAGGGTGAAGCATTAGGGAGCGCTAGGCCTGGGGCAGGATGTTGCATTTGGATAGAATGGTCAGGAAAGGCCTCTATAAGGGCAGTGATCTTTGAGCTGAAGCCTGGGAAGAGCTGCTAGAAGAGCATTCCAGGCTCAGGGAACAGCATATGCCAAGACCTCAGTTGGGCCAGGGCTTAGATGTTCAAGAAGCCAGAAGTGACTAGGGCACTGGCTATGGCAGGAGTCCAGGGGAGCCGCAGGGAGGCTGGCACGGGAGTCCAGGGGAGCCGCGGGGAGGCTGGCACAGGGGTCCAGGGGAGCCGCAGGTTGGCTGGCACGGGAGTGCAGGGGAGCCGCGGGGAGGCTGCCGCGGGAGTCCAGGGAAACCATTGACTGAGATGGAGACCGGGGAAGCCTGGGCCAGAGGTCAGGACATCAGGACCTCTGCTGTGGACATAGGGGATTTGACGGGTCTGTCACGTTGCCGTGTGGGAGTCGCAGAAGAGAGTTCTGTGGACCAGTCTGGAGCCCAGGGAAGAAGTCTTGACCAGAGGGGAAAATGAGGTCACCAGATACAGGTGACATTGACACCTGACATTGGATGAATCCACGCAGGGAGTGTCTGTTCATTCGGTGCTGGAGCTTTGCCCCAAACCTCTGCCCTGCTCCAGGTACTCCTCATCTGGGGATATCTGTGAACAAGGCAGAACAGATCTGTAATCTCAGGGAGCTGTGTGCAGAGTGGTGAACAGATAAACATGTCAGAAGGTGCAGAGCCAGAGAGGGAGGCGCAGGAGACACAAGTGTCTCTTTAATAGGATGACAGGGAAGGCTTCTCTGAGGAGGTGGTCTGGGCTGATTCCTGAAGCAAGGAGGCAACTAGTGCGAGAAGACCTTGGAGAGAGTCCCTGGAGGCAGGAGGCCCCTGCACACCGAGGATCTGAGCAGCCAGGCCAGCTGTGTGGAGCAGGGTGCAGGGACCCCCCGCCCATCATCTTTGTGGGCCCTGCCCATGGGGCTCTTTCAGTCCCGTGCTGTGGCCAGTCACAGAGGACTGTGGCCAAGCCAGGGAGGTCACTCTGGCTGCTGCTTGGAATATATTGGAGGGGCAGGTGTGGCAGCTCAGCAGGGCCAGCGAGGGTTCTGGGTGATCCAGGTGGGAGATGACAGGATGGGGCGGGGTCAGTGGTGGGACTGCTTCCAAGGCAGAGCTGGCAGATTTGCTGCCATGTTGGTTCTGGGGTGTGACAGGGATGAGTTGGAGATGATTCCTAGGTCTGTGGTCTATGCAGCTGGGTGAGTGGACATGCTGTGGATTGATGCAGAGAATCCTGGAGGCACGGGGAGAAGGAGGAGATGAAACAGCCTGCTGTGGCCCTGCCCTGTCCTCTCGCCACAGTAGAGAACTGGCGTGGGAGGTGGGTGGCAGGTGTGCCTCTCAGGGAGCTGTGCACCGGCCGCCGCTGGCGTGCAGACAGGAGCTCGCCTAGGGAGATTTGGGGAGGCCTTGTGTTCTGAAGAGGAAATGGCATCAGGAGAGAACAGGAGTTGGGGGATCAGAGGAGTCAGAGGCCACGTGGAGGGACATAGCAGCTGCTGCGAGACCAGGGGCTGAGACAGCTGTGACGGGCCTGAGTCTGTAGCACGGAGGCTGTGCACAGCCCTCCTCGTCAGCAGGGCCAAGGGATTGGAAGGGCTGAAAGAGGAGTGGACACCGAGTATGGAGAGCTTTTGGGAGGAGTGTTTTTGCAGAAGAGAACAAAGAAAGAGAAATAAGTGGTGCCCGGGGGACCGTGTGGCCTGCTGAGAATTTTGGGAGGGGGCCATGTGGCAGCACATAGGTGTGTGACGTGGGTGCCTGTGGAGGGAACACAGTGCTGGTGGGGACAGAGTGCAGGCGGTGGCCTCAGTTGGCTCGCTTATGGGCAGCAGTGTAGGGTTGACCAGAAACCAGGCCAGAGATGCTCTTCCAGAGGAAGGGCAGGGCACTGAGCCCAGGGCAGGTGCAGGCAGGTCAGGGGACTCAGAGGTAGAAGATGAGGGGTCCTCTTCCCTTCGAGTCTGTGGACCTCTTCAGACCGGACGATGTGTGTGTTACATCCAGAAAACCTCAGAGACCCCGGCCACCCGCAGCTGTGGGTTTGCTGTCCTGTGTATGTTGCACTGTTTCATGTGTCAGAGCCCTCTGCAGACCTGTTACTGTGTCTCCTGTGAGTCTAGTGCTCAGGGAAGCCCTCCCTGGCAGTAGCACTTTGCCCTGGGGAGGGAGGAGGAGATGAAGCAATCTGTAGGTGTGGCGCCCGCATCTGGGTAAGAGCCAGCAGCCGGTTCTGGAACCCCGCCACCAGCACATCTGTTTGGACGGCTGGTGGGTGTTAGCTGTTGAGATCTCTGGCAGGGCTTCTGTGGATCCTTCTTCTCTCCCAGCTCAGACTTTCAGGCTCCCATTTTGGGTGCTGTCAGCTTTCAGCATATCAGGTCTGTGGCACCATACATTATGCACAAAATCAAAAAACACAATTATTTTGTAGCTAGAATTTGTTAGCCAGAAAACACTCCTTATATATCAACGTGGTCTATAAAGGGAATTAAAGTTTGTTTAGGTAATCAATGAGTTTTTGGAAATCATCTCTACAGAAATTAAGAAATTTTGTTAATTTCTTTATGATTTTAGAATCCTGCAATACTTAGACCATAAAAGTTGGAGTTTTGGTGTCAAATTCAGAAAGCACCAGCAAGTACTGGAGAATCGCACTGCAAGTGGACGGTGGCTGAGTCGGGGGCTTAGGACAGTTTCTCTAGCTGGTTCTTCACAACTTCACTGCCTTTGACCAACCCACTTGTCAGACATTTCCGTTCTCTTTTCTTTAGAGACAGAGTCTTGCTCTGTTACCAAGGCTGGAGTGCAGTGGTGTGGTCACAGCTCACTGCAGCCTTGAACACCTGGGTTCAGGCGATCCTCCTCCCTCAGCCTCCTGAGTAACTAGGACTACAGGGACGCACCACTATGCCTGTCTAAATTTTTTA